CTCATCTCCCACCTCCGATTTTCCGTTCTTCCATCTTCCCTGTCCCAGTAATGACACTGCCACCCACAGCTGCTCCTGTTACTGACCAGGAGACAGTGTCCCTCCCTGGGTTCACCCCAGGGCCACCGTTTCCTCCTCTCTATCCTCTCTCTCCCTCCCCAGTCTCTTCCTTTCTCCCTTTATCTATTTCTCTCTCTCCTCTCTCCCCTTTCTCCCTTTCTGTCCCCACCTCTTTTCCTCTGGCTCTCTCCCTCTATCCATTTCCCTTTGCCCTTTCTCCCTCTCTACCTGCTTTCTCCATCCCTGTCTTGTTCTATCCCTTTCTGTCTCTCTCTTTAACCTTTCTCTTTCTCTCTGCCCTTTCTTCCTCTCTCCCCACTTTCTCCCTCTCTCTCCGTCTCCCTTTCTCTCTGCCCCCACCCCACTGAGCACTCTCCACTCTCCTATCCCCACTCCTCTCGCACACGCCCATCTGCCCTCCCAGCTCCCTCTCTCTGCACACTCCTCAGGACCTTTAGATGCCAGCATCATCAAAACCACTCTGAGGTCATGGACACATTCTCACTGAAAGCAACTCCATGTCACCTCATTGCACTGTTGCTCTGGGCACAAAATCCAGACTCATCAACCTGTCTCATGGGGACAGTTGCTCAGCCCAGTCCCGGACAGCCTGGAGGCTCAGGTTTCACAGCCAGCACTTCCCAGGGACTGAGGGAGGCCAGCAGCTCTGCCATGGGCGTGCATTTCTGGAAGGGAGCGGAGCCCGCCGGTCACTCAGCTCTGCCACCAATGGAATGTGCATACACCACAGCCTGCTAATGTCAGCCTGAATACACAATTCCCTGGAAAAAAAAAAATAGATACAGAAATGCCTCCACAGGCCCGCTTCTGCAAGGGACCTGCCGCCTCCCAGAGATGGCGGTGAGCAGTGGCATCCACGGGCAGGTCAGTATACGGAGGCCTTCCACGCTGCCGCCAGTCCCTGTGAGTTCATGAGAGACTCATGGACCGGATTAGCTGGTCAGCTCCCAGGGGACAGCCCTGGTGTGTGTTTGTCTGTTTGTTTAAGTCTATCTTGTTTTTGTTTTTGTTTTAGATGGAGTCTTCCTGTTTTGCCCAGGCTGAGTGCAATGGCAGGATCTCAACTCACTGCAACCTCCGTCTCCCAGGTCCCAGCAATTCTCCTGCCTCAGCCTCCCGAGTAGCTGAGATTACAGGCACCCACCACCATGCCCGGCTAATTTTTGTATTTTTAGTAGAGACGGGGTTTCACCGTGTTGGCCAGGCCGGTCTCGAACTCCTGATCTCAGGTGATCGGCCCGACTCAGCCTCCCAAAGTGCTGGGATTAATAGGCATGAGCCACCATGCCTGGGCAAGTCTATCTTTTAGAACAGTTTCAGGTTCAGAACAGCAAAATTGAGCAAAGGTACAGAGATATTCCAGTGCCCCCTGGCCCCACAAATGCATAGGCTCCCCCATTATCGACTCATCCCACAAGAAGGTGTATTTGGTGGAACGGATGAGCAAACATCCACGCATCAATACGGCCCAGCGCCCCTGGTTCACAGTAGGGCTCACTCTATGCCTGAGTGTCACAGCAGGGCTTGCTGTCACAGTGATGTGGGCTCTGACAAGGTGCGTGGACTGAATCCAGCACTGCAGCCTCATCTGGGGCCCCCAGACCCTCCGTGCGACCCCTCTTCATCCCTCCCTCCCCGCCAGCCCTTAGCAACTATTGATTTCTGTACTAGCCCCATAGTTACGCCTTTTCCAGCATGTCATGCACAGCAGATCCTCAAACAACATCTTTTTGTCCAATGCTGTCTTGTTATAATGTTGATGAGAAAAAGAACATTGATTCCCTGTCATCTCCTCTGTGTGTGTGGAACCCGCATGTTCTCCTCTTGTCTGCGAGGGTTTTTTCCAGGTGCTCCGGCTTTCTCTCACCTCCCATAGATGTGCACACTCAGTGAGTTGGTGCATCTACATGGGTCTGGTGGGAGTGAGTGAGGGTGTGTGGGGGTCGCCTGGTGAGGAGGGTGTCCTATTCAGGGCTGGTTCCTACCTGTGCTCTCACCTGGAATAAGCATGCTGGAAAATGAATGAATGAATGAATACAAATTATTGTAAAATAAAAATTTGTAAAGTCTACGATAATTATACAAACGCGTGGCAGTAAAGGACGTGGAGGGAAAACAGTTGGCGAGCCGCCGTGTCTCTGCTGGCTTGTGAGCTGTGTGGGGACAGGAGGTGCCTCTTACAATTTTCCCTTTGCAAACATTTGTTCTTTGGTTTAACCCACCAGCACACGACCACCGCCACTCTCACCAACAATTAGATAAATAGTCATCCTGCTTGTTTTCATTAATCTTTCTTAAATGTATGTATAGCTTAAATTTATTTCAATGTTTAATACTAGAAGTATTCTGGGTCTTCATTTAGAAGTTTGATGAAGTGTTTGTGACCAGAAATACACCACTGGAACTTAACTCTTGTTAAAATCAAGTTGTAAAATTGGTTTTGTTCTGCTTTGTTTGAGTTAAAGTCACAGTTTCCAAGAACCTATCACCTGATAGGTTCATGAGCTGCATGGTGGCTCACAAACCATCACAGATAAAGCAGCTCGCTGAGCGCTTCCTATTACGGTCTTTATTGTCATGCATTTGTAGGATTGTCATAGACTTTACAAATTTCTATTTTACTATAAGGGAGGACTTACCTTATGTTACGTGGTTTTTTTTTGTTGTTGTTGTTTGTTTGTTTGTTTGTATCTGATAGCTGAGATGGCTACTCAGGGACTAGTGGGTGAGTAGTGTGCAGAGACTGGAAACCCTGGACAGAGGAGTAAGTCATGTCCTGGGCAGGACAGAATGGGATGGTACAAAATCCCATTGCACTACACAGAATGGCACGCCATTTCAATTTATGAGTTTCTATTTCTGAAATGTTCCATTTAATATTTTTGGACCATGGTTGGCCTCAGAGAGCTGAAACCATCAATTCCCGAAACTGTGGAAGCAAAACCTTGGATCACGGGGGGCTGCTGCTCATGTCGTCTACAAGAACCCACCTTAAAAATAAAGGCACACAGGCCGGGTGTGGTGGCTCACACCTGTAATCCCAGAACTTTGGGAGGCTGAGGCAAGTGGATCACTTGCAGTCAGGAGTTCAAGACCAGCCTGGCCAACATGGCAAAAGTCAGTCTCTACTAAAAGTACCAAAAAAAAAAAAAAAAAAGTTAGCCAGATGTGGTGGTATGTGCCTGTAGTCCCAGTTACTAGGGAGGTGGAGGCTCTTGAACCTGGGAGGTGGAGGTCACAGTGAGCCAAGATCATGCTATTGACTCCAGCCTGGGTGACAATGTGAGACTCCATCTCAAAAAATTTTTAAAAAATAAAAATAAAGGCACACATAGGTGACAAGTAGAGAGGTGAAGACGTATCACGCTAGCATTAATCAAAAGAAATCAGGCACAGGTGACATTATCTCAGACAGACTGCAGAGGACCATCATCTGGAACATGATCAAGGAGGGCAAGGACCATGACTTAGTGATAAAGCGTCAATGACCCAGGAAGACATAACAAATCAATGACCCAGAAAGACATAACAAGTCAATGGCTGAGGAAGACATAACAAATCAATGACCCAGGAAGACATAACAAGTCAATGACCCAGGAAGACATAACAAATCAATGACCCAGGAAGACATAACAAGTCAATGACTGAGGAAGACATAACAAGCCAGTAACCAAGGAAGACATAACAAACTATAGCATGGATGCACCCAGCAACAGAGCATCCAATTCTGTCAGGCAAAAACTGTAGAACTCCAGGGAGAGAGAGATGGATCCACTGTTACATTTGGGGGCTTCAATATCCCCCTATCAGAAATAAGCAGATCCAGCAGGAAGGGAATCAGTAAAGCCAGGTCAAACTCAACACCATTTATCAATAGGCTATAACTGACATCTGTAGAATACTCCATCCAATAATAATAGAAGTCACATTCTTCTCAGACTCACATGAAAAGTCAAACAAGATAGACCATATTCTGGGCCACAAAACACATCTTAACAAATTTAAAAGAATAGTAATTATACAATGCCTGCTCTCAGATCACATTGGAATTAAGCTAAGAATCAATAACAAACAATAGGCTGGAAATCCTTAAATATTTAGAAATTAAACAACATACTTCTAAATAACACATAGGTCAAAGAAGAAATCTCAAAAGAAATGTAAAAATATTTCCATTAAACAAAAATGAAAACACAACTTTAAAAAATTTATGGGATGCAGGAAAAGCAGTGCTCAGAGGTAAATTTACAGCATTGAATGCCCATGCTAGAAAAGAAAGATCTAGAATCTACCATCTAATTTTCCCCCTTAGGAAAAAGAAAAGCAACTTAAATTCCGAGTAAGCAGAAGAGAATAAATAATAAAAATTGGATCAAAAATCAATGAAATTGAAAAAATAAATCAATAGAGACAATTGATAAAACCAAAAGCTGGATCTTTGAAAATATTGACGAAATTGATAAACTTCTAACCTGGCTAGCTATGAAAAAAGAGAGAGAACAGAAATTACTAACATCAGAAATACAAGACGGAACGTCACTACAAACCCCACAGACATTAAAAGGACAATAAAAAAATATTACGAGCAGCTCTATGCCCACAAATTTGATAACCTAATTGAAATAAACCAATTCCTTGAAAAACGCAATTCTGCCAAAACCCACACAAGAAAAAATAGACAATCTGAATAGGCCTATATCTAGCAAAAAAATTAAATCATTAATTAGTTATCTTCAAGGGTTCACTGGTGAATTCCACCAAACATTTAAGAAAGAAATGATATCGACTCTCTACAATCTCTTTCAGAGGATGAGAGCAGAGGGGATACTTCCTAAATCATTCCATGAGGCCAGCTCTACCCTAAATTATACAGAAAGTCCTACATGACCAGCAGCCCAGTGAGGGGCCACATGGGTGGGGCTGCCCCTTGCTTCGGCTGCATCAGGTGGGCGGGGCCTCTGGGGGCTGAATTCCCTGAGGACCCAGGGAGTTGGATGTGAGGCCAGTGTGGGCAGGACTTGGCATCAAGGGTAGACATCTGGCTCTTCTTCCCTCAGCCAGTCTCTGCTACTTACCAGCTTTGGGCCAGTCTGAAAGTAATGTCACCTCTCTGAACTGCTGATGGCCCTAGAATCAGATGCTGCCATGCTTCCTGTACAGCCTGCAGAACCGAGAGCCAATTAAACCTCTTTTCCTTATAAATTACTCAATCTCCTTATAAATTATTCAGTCTCAGGTATTTCCTTTTTTCTTTTTTTTTTTTTTTGAGATACAGTTTCACTCTTGTTGCCCAGACTGGAGTACAGTGGCGAGATCTCAGCTCACCACAACCTCTGCCTCCCGAGTTCAAGCAATTCTCCTGCCTCAGCCTCCCGAATAACTGGGCCTACAAATGCCTGCCACCATGCCTGGCTAATTTTTTTTTGCAATTTTTTTAGATTTTTAGCTTCACCATGTTAGCCAGGATGCTCTCGGTCTCCTGACCTCGTGATCTGCCCGCCTCAGCCTCCCAAAGTGCTGGGATTACAGGTGTGAGCCAATGAGCCCGGCTGGCCCTGGCATCTCAAACACTCCATACACGTCTCCAGTGCCAGTCAAACTGGTGCCAGAGAGAGTCCAGCAGCAACATCCAGACCACATGCACCCTGTGGCCTGGACCCGTGACCATGAGCCACCACCTTCCTCCCACCCTTCAGGCCAACCTAATGCCTGGCTTCTGCACCAGCTCCCCACAGCCCAGACCTGGAGGTGCTGCAGGTGCGGTATAATGAGCCCAGCTGAGTGTGGCAATGTAGTGACATGCCCTGCAAAGCTGGCTTCCTCCACCCTCCTGAAGGTCACCTCCCTGGACATGGGATCATCAGGGCCCTGAACGTCTACTCGGAAGCCGCACCTACCTGTGCTCACTGCCTGCTGGTTCAGCGCGCTTTTGCTCCCTCATTTCAACAGCCAGGTTTATTTTAAAAATTATTTTAATATTCATGTCAAGGTTGCAATTCAATAGAGAACATCTAATGGAAAAAAATGAGATAATGTAAATTAAGAAAACAAAATTGAAATCACCAGCACCAGAGATTACAGTCATACACATTTTGGCATAGACGTTTCTATCAGGCCTGATCCACACAGACCCCAAGGCCCGCCTGCCTTGGAACAATGTGCCTGTCTTATGGACAGAAGGTGGGTGGTGGCCTCACGAGTGGGCAAATGTCCCTGACTGGGGAGTGCCAGCCTTGGGGAGTGGCCGTGGCCTGTCGAGGGCTGAGCTAAGGCAGAGGCACCAGCCTGGGGGGCCGAGGTCCCAGCCTCTGGGCTGCTTTAACTAGGGGTTGATGTGATGCTCCATCCTCAGAGACAGAGCTCTTGGATTGAGCACCAGGGACAGAAACAGGCGTGGCCCCTCCTCATCACCCCTGGAGACCCCTGGGCAGAAGTGTACCCCTGGGCAGAAGTGTGCCCCTGACTTTACGCACACTGAGATGGAGACCTGGGTCCTTCAGGCCCTCGCTCCAGGGAAACTAGAAGGCTTCCAGCTGACCCCTCCACTCCTCCTCTGCGACCAGCAGGCTGAATAAAATAAAATAATAAAATATAAAATAATAAAGCAAAATAAAATGTGAAAGGCGTTGACGTCCCAAAATGCTTGTGGACAGAAGGAGGACTGAGAGGCAGGGAGAGGGGAAGGAGGAAAGGAAGAGAGAGGCTGGAGGGAGGGAGGTTCCTTGGCGCTGGGCGCTGGGGAAGGAAGTGACTCCTGCCTCGGCAGCCCCCTTAGCCCTTGGCGAGTTGGAGGCCCCGAGCATGAAGAGCGAGTGGGACTTTCCAACAACAAGGGCGGGTCAGGGAACCCAGGCCGCAGGACAGTAGGGCCAGGGGCATGGAAGCCTAGGGTGGGAGCTCCTCCTCCTAGCACATGGAAGCCCTGGAGGTCTCCAAACTGGGCAATGGGACAGGAAGACTGGGCGGGGAAGGCTACCCCATGTCCCTAAGGAGAAGAGGCTGGAAGCAGTGGACTGAGAACAGTGAGGCCAGGTTTCCATGGGGCCCAGGCTCCCCGGTGCTAACGTCCACCCCGATGAAGTCTCCACCAGCGGGGCTGCCCTGCCCTCACCCTGCTCACCGGAGGGGAACCCTGGAACCTCTCGGGGTTCTCCCAGCAGGAGGGAGGGCCACTGCTCCCCACCTCGCCCCCGGGGAAGAGCTGTCACCATGGAAACCTCCCTGTTGTCTGAATGAATTTCAGAACAGGGAATATTTTAGTCAATCAAGAAATTCAATTAGCTGAATGACATTTATTAATGCACCGCTATGCAGCACTAATTCCTGCTTTTGGGGAGATAATTGGTGTATTTGTGAAGAAGTGCAATTCAATATTTATCAGCTGCTGGTTTTCAGCAAATGAATAATCTGTTAAAAATATTCTCCTCGGGAATGTCATTTTTACTCAAACCCGCTGACAAGTGTGTCCTGTCTGTGACATGCCCGGCTCACCTGGAGGTGGGGTGCGTCGAGGTGCTGTGGGGTGCGTCGGGTCCTGTGGGGTGCGTGGAGGTGCTGTGGGGTGCAGGCCTATGGGCTGGGCCTCTGCCCTCAGTAGAGGCTGTGCGTCCTCAATGTGAGGCCCCAGGCGGCTCCGTGACACACATTCCTGTGTGCAAGAAGGTGCCCCCTGCCCTGCACAAAGATGACCCCTGCCAGCTGCTGCCCCGAGGGCTCAGGCCTGGGGACGCAGGAGCCTGCAAGAGCCCAGTGCCTGCGCTGCCAGCATCCCGGGACAGGGCTGCATCAGGGACGTTCTGTGGCTCCTTCTGACCCCCTCTTTCCCTTTTCTCACTCCCACCTCCTTCTCCCAGCTCAGAGGTGTGTCAGTCTCAGCCCCTCCCCAAAGCAAAACCCTCACAGTTAGCCAGGGACCCAGGCAGGGGTCTGGCAAGGCCCCCCTCCCACCTCTCAGACTCTGTCTCCAGAGGCAGAAAGTGCACATGGGCTTGGCATTGACTTTGGGAACTTGCCGTCACCCCAGGGCGCTCTAGTCTGGTGGATGCTGACTTTGACCACACCTGGGAACTAGTCTATACCTGGGTCTCAGCTCGTGGTGACAGTCTGTGCCAGTCCTGAGCTTTCCAGGGCAGCACCGCCTGAGGTACATGGACCCCACCGCCGTCCACACAGCGCACACCCACACGTGTATCCGAATCTGCGAGCAGCGTATGTGCTGTGGGCACAGGTGCCACAACCTTAGCTGACGGATTATGAAACTGAGGACCTGCCGATCCGAGCCCGTTGTCCGACATCCATGCTCTCATTTCCTAATCCACTTCCAAAAGCCATTTTTCCCTCCTAAGGGGCAAGACTTTCAGCCAGACACTAGGAGGATTTGAAGAGAAAGGAGCTACAGTCTTTGCCTTTTAAAGGAATCCAATCTTGAAGCCTGAATGAGGCACAGGCAGAGGAACGCAGGCTACAAGACAAAATGCGATAATGCACAACAACCAGTTAGAAGACACAATGGAAGGCAAAGCCCCGTTTACGACAGCAACAAAAGAGATAAAATACCTATGAATAAATTTAACAAGAAATGGGCGAGACCTGCGAGAGAACAACTTCACAACATTCATGAAAAAAACAAAAATGGAAATTCACATGGTCAGGAAAACTTAGTATGACAATGATGTCTATTCTTCTAAGTTAATTTGCAAATTGAATGCAATTGCAATCAAAATACTAATGTGTTGCTTTCCCTAGGATTAGTCAAGGGACTTTAACTTCATACGGAAAAATAAAAGCAAAAATACTCAAGAAAAATGAGCAGAAAGAAGGAGTGGCTAGCTCTAGCAGGTATTAGTAATCGATGAGCAATCAGCTGTGATGCTGGAGTAGCGTGAGGGCACACCGGACGGAGGCACAGGTAGGAAGTCCAGAAACAGCTGAGTCAGCTAAGTCCTTGCTGGGAGTGTGACCAGGACACGGCGGGACAGGATGGCCAAGACGGGGCACAGCCCTGGGGACAGCCCCACCTCATAACCTGTGTGTGTGTACATGTGTGCATGTGAGGACACACGTGTGCATGTGTGTGAGGACACTTGTGTGTGCATGTATGTGAGGGCACATGTGTGTGTGAGAACGTGTGTGCGTGTGTGAGGAGACATGTGAGTGTGTGCGTGTGTGAGGACACATATGTGTGCATGTGTGTGAGGACACGTGTGAGTGTGCGTGTGAGGCCACATGCATGTGCATGTGTGTGATGGCACGTGTGTGCATGTGTGTGGATACTTGGGGGCGTGTGTGAGGGCACGTGTGTGCATGTGTGAGAGGACGTGTGTGCATGTGTGTGAGGACACGTGTGCATGTGCGATATGACGTGTGCACGCATGTGCGTGTGTGAAGACATGCGTGTGCATGTGTGTCCACACGTGTGGGGACATGTGCGTGCCGGTGTGTGCCTGTGTGCACATGTATGTACATATGTGCATGCACACGTGTGTCCCAGGCTGCCCCAAAGTTCAGACAAGCTTCCCCCAAGAAGCTGCCATTTTCCTCCAGAAACAGGATTTCCTCCCCAAAACCGAGGAGTTACCGACCCCCAACCCAGCAGGAGACTCCGACAACAAGCCGCCTTCCCTCGCCCTCCCCACCTGCCGGCCGACATCACAGCAGAGGCACCTCCTACCCCCACACTCTGCAGAGGATGGTCCCAACTGCAGTGGTCCTAGGGCAGCCCAGTGAGTTCAGTCATGGAGACCTGAAGAAGAAACACGAGGTGACCTCAACGTGGTCCCACTGTCATCTTTTATGGTAGCCCCGTCACCCCGGTTTCACTCTAGCAATGAAGCTGGCAGGTGCCTGGGCATCTGGAACAGGGCTCTGAGTCATTGAAACAGTGATAGGTCAGGTTGCTCAGGGCAGATTGCTCAGGGGTGCTTGGCGCTGGTGGTGTTATCCTGTGTTGATGGGGGACCCCAGGGCAGCACCCCACGATCTGGGATCGGGCTAGGGCTCTGGTTTGAGACTGGGCAGGCAGGGGGAGCTGGGCCTGGATGACAAACGTGGAGGGCACAGCCACAGGTCTGTGTGAGTGCTCAGTGCCCGCAGGTAGGACGGGTGTGCAGGCGTCTGCCCAGGTCACAGAGGGGAGCACATTACCTGCCCTGCAGCCTCTGCTCTCACCACCTGAGGTTTGGCGCCCACTCCCAGGAATGCGCACCTGTGCGTGGCTCCACAGACCTGATGGCTGTGGCGACGGCCGCGAATGCCATGTGGCAGAAAGCAGAATCAGGCGTCAGCGTCAGACCGTCACGGGCACCCAGTACGTGGCTGACAATGAATGGGGTCGGGCTTGATAAGCAGGTCCCCCCATGCTGGCAGGCAGCAGAGGCTGCAGGGAACGATCAGGACAACAGGCAGGCTGGAGGAGCCTGCAAAGCCTGGAGTCCCCTTTGGGATGCCTGGGCGTGGCACCTGCAGCCTTCTCCAACCTCGAGAACATGCTGTGCTGGGCAGGGGATGGGCTGGCAAGAGGCCGACTGTCTCCTAAGGGCTTTGATCAATGTGGGTGGGAGAACTAAGCCAGAGCCCGCCCAGCAAGTCCTGGAGGGAGCCGGAAGGACAGCGGTGCTGGCCTGGCACTGAATGGGGGCCTGACCATGTGCAAGTCAACTAACAGTCAGGCAAACCTCCATCTAGTGTGTAGGGTCCCGCACAGCTCCCAGAGGCGACACCGGGGGGTCTCAGCGTCCAGAAGGAGACAGATCACAGGTGCTGCAGGCAAACCTAAAATAAACCATGTTAACGTGCGGTGTTTAGCAGCTGGTAGCACATGCACTTGGTTGCTATCTGTATTTCTGAAATATTTCCATCAGTCCGAAAGGAAACCCCAGCGCCAAACCCCATGCACAGGCAGCCGCTGATCCGTGCCTGTCTGTGGATCGATCTGTTCTGGATCTTTCGTATGAATGGGACCACACAGTTTTGCTACCTTTGGTACTGGCCTCTTCCCTCCGCACCCTGTCTTGAGGTCCATCCACATCACAGCTGTGTCAGGCTTCGTTCCTCTCTGTGGCTGCATAATACTCCACCACATGGCTCTCCTGCAAGTGCGCCATCTCTCTCCATTCTGATTTTTAATGTTTAATTTTTTCTTCGAGAGGTGGTGTCGCCCTATCGCCCAGGCTGGAGCACAGTGGCATGATCTTGGCTCACTCCAACATCCACCTCCCGGGTTCAAGCGATTGTCCTGCCTCAGTCTCCTGAGTAGTTGGGACTATAGGCGCCCGCCACCACGTCTGGCTTAATTTTTATATATATATTATATATATTCATACATATATATACACACACACACACACTTTTTTTTTGAGACAGAGTCTCTCGGCTCTGTCACTCCAGGCTGGAGTGCAGTGGCGTGATCTTGGCTCACTACAAGCTCCGCCTCCAGGCTCACGTCATTCTTCTGCCTCAGCCTCCTGAGTAGCTGGGAATATAGGTGCCAAGCCGGCACCCCTGGCTAATTTTTTGTTTTTTTTTTGAAATGCATAATCTTTTATTTGGCAATTAATTTCTACTAAAATTTAAAGTGGCTAACAAAATCATGCATCAGGTTTGATTGGCGATAGTAGATAATGTGTTTTTGAAAACAAGTTTTGAATTTGTGCCCTCTTCCAGTAAATGCATGCAGTTAAACACAGATGGAGGGTGAGAAGAGAAAGAAAAAAGAGAAGAAAAGGAAGAGAGAAAGGGAAAGAAGAAAGGAAAAGAAGAAAGAAAGAAAGAAAGAGAGAGAGAGAAGGAAGGAAGGAAGAAGGAACGGAATGGAAGGAAGGAAAGAAAGAAAAAAAAGAAAGAAAAAGAAAAGAAAGAAGAAGGGAAGAAAGGAAGGGAAGAAGGAGAAAGGAACGGAAAGATTTTGTGTTTTTAGTAAGAGACAGGGTTATCCACCGTGTTTAACCAGGATGGGTCTTGAACTCCTGCCTCCGTGATCCACGCTGCCTCAGCCCTCCCAGAATGCTGGGATTACCAGGGCGTGGGGCCACTTGAAACCCTGCCAGTGTCCTAACTGCGGGACTCTGTCTCTGTTCTCACCGCCCCTGCTTGCCGGCTGGACGATTCCTTCCTTAGCTTAGCCCTCAATGACTACAGTGGATTTATGTTATAGATAGCCCCTTAATATATGTAAAGGATGGTCAAATGTTGGAAATGTTGTTTGCTTGCAAGTTTTTACTATTTCAAACAAGGCAGAGATGGACATATTTATAGCTAATTCTTTGCATATATCTTTATATATTTTTTAGGACAAAATCCTAGAAATGAAATTTCTAGGTCACATCTTACCCATTTAAAGGATTTTTATAGAGCTTGAGAAATTGCCCTCCTTAAAGGTAGAGGAAGCAGTTGATGCCTCCTCCCCGGAGCTGCGTGTGAGTGAGTTTCCTCTCCGGGCCGTGCTTACCCTGGTGCAGATGTGGCCTTTGGGGAGGATGGACGCAGCTTTGCAGATGTTCTGATAGCAACTGGCAATGACAGCAGGCTCAGGGATACAGAAACACGAGCTAGGAGGGAAGAGAGAGGAGAGACAGGAGAGAGAGAGGAAGGGAGAAAGGAGAGAAAGGAGAGAGAGGAGAGAGGGAGGGGGGGGGAGTGGGGGGAGAGAGAGAGAGAGAGAGACAGAGACACTGACTGTGTCTGTTGCCTCTGTGACCACCTCCCTTTCCCCCGGATTTAACCGCAGACCTTTTGCTCGAATTAGGTGGTTTCCACGAGAGATCCACATCCCCAGTCTGCCTCCCTTCCTGGGCCACTGTGTCCACACCAGATGATATCCTGGCTGCCACATCTGGATGCATTTTTGCTCTGAGATGAGTTAATTCACAGCAACTGCCAATCAGGCTCCCGCAGGTCTGACCCTAGGCGGGCTCCTCGGCAGGGCTGAGCTCTAACCAGGATCCGCTAACCTTGTCCTGGCAGTTCCCCCTTGAAACCCTGCCAGTGTCCTAACTGCGGGACTCTGTCTCTGTTCTCACCGCCCCTGCTTGCCGGCTGGACGATTCCTTCCTTAGCTTAGTTCTTTCTGTAGGATCTGGTTAAACGGAGCCGCTTTGACCAACAATCCTTCTCTGTGGTCCTCAGACCCTCAGTCTGGCTGAGGCTGCCTGGAGATCTTGAGTTTGTGGAGACAC